CAAAGTTAGATCTAAGAGAAGCCTACTATAGAGTCAGAATAAAAGAGGGAGATGCATTAAGTTGCAGGTGCACCGATTCCAGCAGCTGCGTTTTCCCTTGAAATTTGCTGTCCCAGCAACTCGAAAGGGACAATCTCCCAGCGGCATCTCAGGCGCTCCCACCCGTAGCCGCGAGGGAGTGAGGACGGCTGGGTGCAGTTTGGCACCTCCCGGCTCCCCTCAGATCATCGAGGGGCCTCGCGCACCTGCTCGCTCACATGGCCTGCGTGCTTCCAGCAGAAATGGGAAGCGTGGGGATCTTAATGTAGTAGGGCGGGGGGGGGCTGGAGTGGGAGATTAAATAAATAAATTTGGCTTCGCTTCTTTGTGTGGCAAGAGAGAAAGGGGCCTGAGATGCTCCTGGGAGAATGTCCCCTTCAGATTGCTGGAACAGCAAGTTTCAAGGCAAAACCCAGCTTCCTTGCGCGGCAAGAGAGAAAGTTGCCTGAGGCGCCGCTGGGAGGATGTCCCCTTTGGGTTGTACCCTTAGCGCCCCCCTGCCTCTTAGCGCCCCCCTGCCGCCCCCTTGCCTCTTAGCGCCCCCCTAAGTCATCCCACCGCCCCCCAGGAGGCGGTACTGCCCACTTTGGGAACCACTGAGTTAGGCAATGGAAGGCATGAAAAGCACCATTGTTCAGCTGTGTTTAGGGCCTCGGTTGGCCTTAATTTGCCACTAAAATCCCCTACCTAAGTCTTGAGATAGGGGATTAAGTCATCCTGCTTAGGCACTGCTACCTGCTGAGACATTATTACAAATAAAAGATAACACTGTGATTTGAGCCCTACCATCTGTATGCATATTCTGTCTCTTTCCTAGTTCATTTGAATTGCTCTGGTCAGTTGTGAGTGACTGGAACTGGGACATCATCAATGCCTTTCGAAGTAAAGAGGAATGCCTGTCTTGAGGGAGGTACAACGTGCCCTTTCTTGATGAGGCCTGCCATAAAACTGACTACTTTTGGGAAAAAGAAGGTGGTGAATGTTCAGTTATAGAGAATCCCAGAAGAATACTTTACCTGGATAAATATCAGTCAGATTTTCATGCCTAGACCTAGACATTGATCATGGTGGTTGATGATCATCTGTGACTTTGATAAGGGGAAGACTCTTTTGGTGCTTTCAGATCTTTTGGTGGGGATTTAGTCCGCTGACCATGGCATTTTGCTGAACCACTTATAAGGGTTTCAAATTGGGAGTACAGTTTTATGGTGAGTTTAATTTTATCCAGTGAGTTGTCCAAGTCAGTAATAATAGAAGAGTAGCACTCAAGCGTGTAGCCATTCCATTGTGGAGTGTTACTCCTTTGTGTTGTTCAACATCTCTGTAAAGCCATTGGCAAGGTTCTGTCACTTCAGGATTGAATGTCATCAGTATGGTGATAACACTCATTTTAATATTAGTACCTGAGTTGAACTACTGGTGTTATAAACTGCCTGAATTGATACCTGAAGTTCATTATTGTCTGAATGAAGCAGAAAACTAAACTAAAATTCAATTACATCAGTGCCAAAGTTGCATTTGTAAAAATCAAGTTGATCCATTAACAGTGGATCATCCTGAATGGAGCTGTCCTCCACCCGAAGAAGTTGGTCTGTGAATGGGGTCCCCCTGGATTTATGGCTTCTAATTAAATAGCTGATCGATCAGGATGTCCTAACAACGGTAACTCATGGCCTAAAACAACATGTGGTTGAACAAAGTGAAGACATTCCCCTAAACTCCACTGAAGATGTTACCTAGCCTGATAACGAAATGTTCGGAAACCAACCCACAAGCTTGGAGAACGAACCTTCACCCTCAAGCATTTAAAAGCATTCAGTTGTGAGAACTTACTTTTCATCCAGTTGACAAACTGCTATGCTACTATCTTATCTAAAAAATACAATACATTGTTATGTATAGCAAGATACTGGAACATGTTACCTTTATCAAATGGTTATGGAATATTGTTAAATATAATCTTAAACTCAGAAGTTTGTGAGTTTATCTCCTTTCAAGGGAATAGGATTTGAAGCAAATACATATATTCCTCAACAATCTGTCTATATACAGTTTAGTAGAAATATGGTACTTTGATTATGTTTTTTAGGTTCATATTTATTTATAAAACCTTTGTAGGAAGTTAGCACCCACCCCTCTCTCAGAAGATTGAAATATTCTAGGAAATATTAAAGGCAGAATATTATATTTCCCTGGATGAGAAATGGAGAAACATGTTTTTTTTTGGGAAGGAAGCAGACTCACTTTTAATAGCTCCACCCTCCACAATAGCCCACAGCAGATGTCAGCACTTAAGAGATAAAGAGATAGATCTATTCATAAGCAAATGCTCTCACCCAAGATCAAACAAAGGTAGGATTAGCCGTCTACCCATCTAGCAATAGAACTCACCACATGGCACTTGGGGAGATTACATCACCCAGCAAGATTCAACCAAGCTTGGAACTCAAGACACTACAAAGTTGCCCCTGCATGGCCCCATGGGAGTCTGACAACCAATCAGAATACATTTCTTACACAGGAACAGGAAGCTCCAAGACAGGGCCCAAGAGAGGGTATACATCTTATCTCTCCTCCCCATGTGCTTTTTCTTTGCCCAGGACCAAAAAAGACATGTGGTCCTGTCTACCATTAAAACATTTTTCCAAGCAATCTCCATGTTTCCAATGTCTTTCTTCCCACTTGGAACTGAACTCAGTTCCCAAAACCTTTTATCAGTTTCGGGGTTATTGATACTAATGCAATCTTGACAGATTCTTGGTCTTTTTCCTTGTTACTCTTTCTGGCAGTGTTGGAGGCAATCTTTCCTGCTTATATTTTTTTGGGGGGTGCTATTTAATGTTTATAATAGTTTATCTAGTTTAGCTTCGTATGAAAGTATTGATTTGGGACATCTCAAAATGATTAGCTTATTCAAAACATTCTTGTTTCTTTTTTTTCTTAGTCTGCCAATGTTTACAGTCCTGAGACGGTTTTCCATTTTATTTACAATGTTTGCAGAAGGAATCTTACTCAAGTGAGTTAAAAAAGAAAGATATATATTGTTTCATGTGTCTATGTTGGTGGGCAGAGTTTTGCCAAATTTATTATGCTTCACGGTTATTCTGTAGGAAGCATGAGAACTGCAAAGCATTGTGGAACCATCTATATCTGAATTTTATTTTCAAAGAGCAGCATGGATGTGTAGTGTATTTTTCATATTGGAAACTCCAGCAGATTCTTTAATTCTAATGAATTTTAGTGCATGCTTTTGTTTGTTCTTTGTAGATAACCATACATTTTGTGTGTAGGTTCTGGGGTTAAAGACTTGAATGTGCAGTTTGTAAACACGGTCAGGTTGCTTGCAAAGTCTGGATCACCTTGGTGCTAAGTGCAAAGAATCCAGAGAAACAAATACTAATCTTTCCTCTCATTGCTATAGTAACATACACAGGGCTTGGTAGAAAGCTCATCAGATTATCTTACTTTCTTGAAAGTTAATTGTTTCCAGTTAGAAAAGTACTGAGAATTGCTGAAAATTTGCTTCAGTAATGACTAAGCTTTCTTTTTAGGAAAAAATTTTCTTGGGGAATTCGGATGACAGTATTTTCAATGATAATTGGTGCATTTGTAGCTGCAAGGTATGGTTTGATTTTTTGCTAATGCTTTTGTCACATTTTCATACCACAAAGTTAAATAGTTTGCTATCGTTTAGATTCCATCCAATGATGAAAAGAGTGTGCAAATGTAGGTTATTTCCTGTTATTGTAGAATTGACATAATACACCATTAAAGCAGCTGCACTGCTGAATTACAACAAAAATGGAAAGTTTGATTCTCTAATAGATAAATTCCCATGCAAAGAATTAAGCAATAGAATTAGAAAGTATTGAATGAGCGTATTGTCTGAATTTTTTAAAAAAATTATGTGCAATCTAGTAATACTTCTTACAGCTTTTTGTATTTTGTATTTTGTATCACAGTCAGCAAGATATGTTAGCAAGACAAGCAGAAAGTTGTAGTTCATTAACATCTCAAGAGTTAATGGCCACTTATGTAAGCTAAGGAAGTTGGCCATTTTCTTCTTCTGCTTTCAGCCACTTGTATAGTTTTCCTGGTCCATAACAAATCTGTGATTGTCTCATTCTATTTATTTTAACTGGCAGGTGGAATTAATAGGATTCTTTAAATCCACTTTGAATTATTTTAAACTTAGAGCAGTGTTCAATTAGATATATTTACATTTTGTTGGGTGGGGTCACTCACTTTTTAAGAAAGAACAGACTGTTACAGGAGATGTTATATATTAAAGTGCAGCATTGGTCATATTTATAATCAGTTAGAGCATTACATATCAGGGTTCATCAGATGCCTAGCGTCTTCTGCAATACTGTTTCCAAAATGTATCCCACTTGTAGGATTGTTGTAAATTATGTTCTATATTTGTAAATGTTACAAATTTTCTGTAACTTAAATGTTGTCTCTTCCATAGTTCTGATTTGGCATTTGATCTAGAAGGATATATTTTTATCTTGATCAATGATGTCTTGACAGCTGCAAATGGCGCTTATGTAAAACAGAAACTAGATTCAAAGGTAGGGTTCATCTCACTGCTGCATGTTGCTATGCTGATCAATAAAAGATAAATAAAAATATTTTTTTGTTGCTGTGGGATAAGATATTCCACAGGTTGATCTGTTATGTATATAGTAATGTGCAAAATGTTTCATTTTAAAATATTGCAAGCTCAAATTTCATGAAACATTCTGCCTCAACACTGAAACAGTTTGTTCCAATATTTTGGAAGCATCTCAAGCTTGAAACATCAACCTTCAAAAATATTTTTCCCACTTGAATAGGCTTGAGATGGAGCATCTTGTGAAATGTCATGCTTGAAACATTTTAAAAGCTTCCATTTATAATCTCTCAACGTATTATTTAGATTCCTTGTTGAGGGAGATGTAATTTAGCTATATCTAGTAATATCTTCCTCATTGCTGTTCTAAATCAGCACTCTGTTTTTACCAAAGACAACCACAATTCTGTTGGTGTTCTTGGGTTAAATAACTTAGTCATAACACCAGGAGCTTTAACACATTCCGCAGCACAATAATACTCAACTATTTTTACTGTGAAGTTATTTCATGCCAAAATTAAAGTGGCAGACTTCATATTTAGCTTCAGAAAATCTTGAAAACCTGCAAATATGGTTTTTAAGGTTAGCTGAAATGATATTGGTTACATTAATTTACAGGATAAGCAACTAAGCTGAGGCTCCCAAAATACAATAGTATACTAGTGTTACCTAGCCATTATATTGATTACTTGGTTACAAACACATATTTAAGGAACTATTATATAATTATAAGATGGTTTAGTGACTGTCGCCCCTTTAAAGAACCAGCCTAACTGGTTCCTTTCTAAGCATAGTGAATCAAGAGCTAGCTTGCTAGCTGTGAAAGTGGATGAAGGTTGATTAGATGATGCGGTTTTAGATTTTGGATTAAGTGAGTTAACTTGCTGTGGTTATTTGGGATAGATTTCTTGCGTAGTCATTTCAGGCAAACATGCAGTCTAAGGGCAAATTTAGGTTTATTCTCCATATTTAGCGGACAACTACTAGGCAAAAATCTGTCCAGTTTACAGGCTGAATTTCTGTGGGTAAAAAGCACAGTTTCCTCTGAATATTTATTCCTGTTAGATATTGGTCGAATGAAGAATAAAATTTGTGATCCTTATTTCACTTAAACGTTCATTTAATGTATTTTTAAAGTAGGCACCAGTCTGTAGAAGACATGAATTATGTAGCTGCACAAGATTTTCTGTTATACTCTTGATTTGTGCTAGAGTATGAATTTGGTTTGTGTCTAAGGATATGGTGTGTGTGTGTGTGTGTGTGTGTGTGTGTGTGTGTGTGTGTGTG